AGTTAAGGGTTCAGCAAGGGAGCTTATGGACAGAAGCATTGTCTTGGGTGGCTGTGAGACAAATCGACAGGTCTCTGCTCTCTGAACCCCCAAAGCAGATGATCATATGGTCTGTAAGGGGGGAGGTGATGGGGAGTACATGTGGGGAGGCATTCGAGGTCTGCATAAAGCACTTTTGGGTGCCAACACCGTATCAGCTCCAATCAGGGACCACCACAGCCCTGAATGAGGATGGTAGGCAAGTTCATTGTAGCAGCTTAGGCCATATTCCTGCCTGGGGAGCCTGAGGACACTCTGAGGTCAGGTCCCTGGAGATGGTGGATTAGCTCCAAGATGGAGCTATTCTGGTTTCTTCACAGCCAATAAGATCCGCCCTCTCCCCTTTTGTTTTGGCTACAGGTGAGAAAGCACCCTCCGGGGTGGATGGCAATACTGCATTCTCTTCTCCATTCTCCTCTTGGGATTCTGGGTATGTACATATGCCTGATATATTTTTCAAGCCACCAGGTCCAGGACTCGAACTGCCTCGTCAGCCATATGGGACCCAGCTGTCTTACCCACTATGCCACCAGCTGGCCCTGAAATTCCTTTCTTGTTCTTCTCTCAGAATCTTTTTCTCTATAGATGGCTCTACTGGCAACAAGAGTGGTCAGGTCCACCCCTTCTTGCTGAGAGGGAGACAGAAGGTGAAGACGCAGACTGCCCCCTTGAAAGGCCCACAGTCAGACAGAGCGGGGGTGTGCAGGGCAGGAGGACAGTGAGGCCCAAGGAGGAGTTGGTCAAGGGCTCCTGGACCTGGCACTGGCTCCTGAAGGATGCGGGGAAATGCAGATGAAATTGTGCTTCCCGTGGGAGGAACCAGCAAGAACAAAAGCCTGGCCAGAGGAGAGGGAGGCTGGGCTGGGTAGGTGGGAGGCCAGACTGCAGAGACCTTGTGAGGGAGGGAGAGAGCCTGGCCTTGGTCAGGTGTGTGTGCTTGAATGCACAAGCTGCTGGCAGGCGCTGGACAAGGGCTACAGGGGCTCTCTGGGGATCAGCCCCTCCTCTTCTAAAGGCGGCCATAACCAATGACCACAGACTCAATGGCTGTGTGTCTCTCTCTGGTCAAATTAAAAAAATAAGTGAGTGGATAAATACAATTAAAATACATATTAAAAAAAAAAAAAAAAAAAAGACGACAGTTTATCCTTTCACTGCCCTGGCAGGTAGAAGTCGGAACTCACAGTGTCAGCAGGTCGGTTCCCTCTGGAGGCCTTCCTTGTCTCTTCTAGCCACAGGCAATCGCTAGCATCCTTGGAGTTCCTGGGCTTGTCAATCGGGCTTGCCAGTTTCTGCCTTCATTGTGAGGTAGCCATCTTCCCTGTGTCCAGAATCCCTGTCCTTGCAAGGACACTAGTCATTAGGCCCGCTCCAGCTCAGTGTGACCTTATCTTCATTGGTTACCTCCGCGAAGACCCTATTTCCAAGTATGGTCACGTTTACAGGTACCAGGGGTGAGGGCCTGAACATATCTATTTTGGTGACACAGATGAACTCACAGCAAGAAGTTAGAGCAGGAAGCCCCCATAGCATGCTCTAGGGGCTAGGTGAGCACCCGTGGGAATTCGTTTTCTGCAAAGGGAAGAGCAGCTTTGTGTATTGAAAAAAAGACAGGCTCGGGACCAGCAGTTGGCATAATGGCTATGTCGCTGGACTCCCATGTAGTTGACCATGGTTTGAGTCCTGCACCCAGTGGCTTAAAACTCACACTGGGCACATGTGCGTGCATGCCCAAGAGCCCGAGAGGAGAATGGAGGAGAAGGGATTGTGGCGTGGCCATCCCCCCAGGGGGGTGATTTCTCGCTTTCTGTCTCTGTCTCTGTCTGTCTGGCGAGCGAGCACATGTGCCCTATAGCACAAAAAACTCTCAAAAAAAAAAAAAAAACACACAAAAAAAAGGCTCAATGCCCTGCAGCTTGAAGGGGACCATGGACCAGCAACCCCAGCATGACCTGGGAGCCTGTCAGAGACGCAGGACCTCAGGTTCCTACCCAGCCCAGAGTCAGAGTCTACATTATACCGGACCGCAGGTGACGCGGATGCGAGGGCGGTTGGAGAAGCTCTGCTGTTACAGACCTGGCGTTATCTCCTCTCCCCATGTGGTCAGACTAGCTGTCGCTTTCTGTGTACACATCTGTTTCCTTTGTCCTCTGTCCTCATGTCACATGTTCCTGAGTGTCTCTGCCCCTGAGTCGATGTCATCCATGGCCCTTTCTAGAGAGCGTCGAGCAGGCTGAAGGCCCCTTTGTCGCCTTCTTGGGCCCCGTCCAGCTTCTTGCTGTTTATAAATGTAGTTGCCATGAGCATCTCCCTACACATTCCTCTGCGGTTAGTTTCTTGAGGGGAATTTCCAGAATCAGTCAATGAGCAGTTGTGGACTCTTTTTTTTTTTCTTTTTTTTTTTTTTCAGTTTACTATCGGGCACCTATAGACAGAGAAAGAGAGGGGGAAAGTGAAAAAGCACCCTCCGGGGAGGATGGCCACTCAGCAATCCTGTCTTCATTTTCCTGTTGGGATTTTGGGCACGCATGTATGCATATCTGACTGGTGTGATTTTCAAGCTCTGAGTTCAGGACTCAAACTCCCAGTTGGCCATGTGGGATCCAGCCGCCTTAACCACCATGCTATGTGTTGGCCACTTCCCAACCCCCCCCCCTCGCTTTTGTTCTTTTGAGAGGTTTTTGCTATAGGGCACTTGCACTCTCCAGAAAGACAGAAAGTGAGAGATCACCCCCCAGGGGGGATGTCCACGCTGCAATCCCTTCTCCATTCTCCTCTCGGGATCTTGGGCACACACGCACACGCGCCCGGCGGGAGTTTAAACCACCAAGTCGGGGACTCGAACTGCAGTCGACTACATGGGAGTCCAGCGACAGCCATTATGCCAACTGCTAGTCCCTCCCCCGCCTTTTTTAAGAGAGGTTTTTGCTATAGAGTATGTGTGTTCACTGGAGAAACAGAGAGAAACAGAAAGTGAGAAATCACTCCCCAGGAGGGATGGCCATGCCACAGTCTCTTCTCTTCCAGTATCCTCTTGGGACTTTGGACATGTACACACACACACTTGGAGTGAGTTTCAAGCTACTGGGTCTGGGACTTGAATCATGGTCAACCACGTGGGAGTCCAGTGATGTAATCGTTACGCCATGTGCTGGTCCCTCCAGATCCCCCTTTTAAAAAGTCTGTTTAACTTATGGGACCAGCAATTAGTGTAATGGCTATGTCGCTGGACTCCCATGTAGCTGACCACGGTTTGAGTCCCAGAACCGATGGCTTAAACTCACGCTGGGCGCATGTGCGTGCGTGCCCAAGATCCCGAGATTAGAATGGAGGAGAAGGGATTGCGGCGTGGCCATCCCCCTGGGGGGTGATTTCTCGCTTTCTGTCTCTCTGTCTCTCTCTGTCTGGCGAGCGCATGCGCCCTATAGCAAAAACCTCTCCAAAAAAAATTTATTTAACTTATTATTATTATTATTTATTTTAATTTGACCAGAGAGTGGTAGAATGAGTGAGAGAGAGAGAGAGAGAGAGAGAGAGAGAGAGAAAGCTGCCAGGAGGCCTGGGACTCTAGTTGTGTTCAGCTATGTGGGAGTCCAGCACCCTTAGCCACCACACCACCTGCAGGCCCCCCCAGCCTACTTTTTAAGCATTTTTGTTAGAAAAAAAATTGAGGGAAACTAGCAGATGGCATAGTGGTTGCTGGACTCACCATGGTTCGAGTCCCGGACCTGGAAGCTGGAAACTCACACCTGTACTCATATGTACGTGCGTGCCTAAAATCCCAAGAGGAGAATGGAGGAGAAAGGATTGTGGTGTGGCCTCCCCCCAGGGAGATGATTTCTACCTTTCTGTCTTTCTTTTTCTCCAATGAGCGCATGTGCCCTATAGCGAAAATCTCTCACTACTGTAAATTATAATAGTGCCATAAACTTGAAGGGAATTTGTAAAGGTAGCAATGACACCACCACCACCATTCAGTGAGCAGTTGCTGTGAGTTACATAATTTATTCTTATGTTCTTTTTCTTTTTTAAAAAATAATTATTTATATTTATTATTTTTTATTTTTATTTTTTTGGAGAGGTTTTTGCTATAGGGTGCGTGCGCTCGCCATACAGACAGAGACAGAGAGACAGAAAGCGAGAAATTACCCGCCAGGGGGGATGGCCACACCTCAATCCCTTCTCCTCCTTTCTCCTCTCGGGATCTTGGGCATGCATGCACACATGCCCAGCGTGAGTTTAAGCCACCAGGTCCGGGACTTGAACCGCGGTTGACTATGTGGGAGTTCAGCGACATAGCCATTACGCTAACTGCTGGTCCTATATTTATTATTATTTTAAAATTTGACCAGAGAGAAAGGGAGAAAGCAAGCTGCCAGGTCCAGGATTCGAACTGTGGTCGGTCACGCACCCACCCCCCCCACCACCTGCCGACCCCCTTTTTAAAAAATTTTATTTATTTATATTTATTATTACTTTTTAATTTCTTATGTTCTTCTGCAGAGAGGGCAGAACCATCCCTTTTCCCTTGCAGAGGGGAAACTGGGGCTCGGGCTGAGTACGTCTGAGCTTGCACTGCGTGTACGTTGTGTACTCAGAGCCCCGGTCGTCGCGCCCATTCCTGTGAGGCCGTACAGTGCCGACGTGAGCAAACCTGGGGCATCAACCTGAGCATACAGCCTGGCTCAGCACCTGCTGGATACCAGCCTGCTCTTCTCCTGGCCTTGTCAGCCTCACCAAGTTCCTCTCAGGGCAGTGACATGCAGCTCAGCCTGGCGGCTGTCATACTTCATCAATGCCCAGCTTTGCTTTGAGTACAAGCCTTCTCCCGGTGCAGATGCGTTTGTAAATGACTCAGAGGTCTGGGTTAAGAGCAGAGCCGGCTCTGATTCCTG